ATTTTACACACCTTTTCTATCTGTTTGTTATGTGTCAGTGCCGAGCTCCCTTGGGTACATCTCATTTTAAAACACACACATCTATATAACACCAAACCAGTTACATGATGGTGCTACATAAAAAGTGGTTGTACATAATTGAGATATTAGGAATTATGCAGAGTACTGAAATCTAACCTAGGATTTCAAGAAGTCTTACTCCAAAGGTTGGAGATCAGTGCTCACTTTTACTGGGCTCATGGTTTAGTTATAATTTCCTACATTAATCTCATGCTTTCTTTTATTGGATGAGCTATGTGTTGTCGAAAGCTTTCATGACCAGAATCACTGGGTTGTAGGTTTTTCAGACTGTATGGCCATGCTTCAAGAACATGGCCATACAGCCCGAAAAACCTACCATAACCCATTGGATGAGCTGTAAATATAATCTTTCTTCTTACTTTCATGTTTTGTGTACTCAGTTTAATCCGTTTTTCATGTAGTATTTATATCACTAATGACACTGGTTGATATATAAACAAACCTATTAGTAGCTACTCTATACTGTTTTGTATACAGATTTTTTGGTCTATTTACTGTCTTCATTCATTGCCTAAATCCCTTTGGCTATGTACCTTCCTGGCTTGCTGATCTGATGGAGACAAATAGCAGTTGTTTACAGCAAACAATATAACATGTAAAACGTTACCATTTACCAGTTCTGTCTCATTTTGAATTAGATCATATTATTAAAATTTCTCATACCTAGTACAAAAGGAAAGTCTTTTAGTCTTCAAAATGGTTTTCTTTGATGCTTTATTACTGAGCCATCCATTGTTGTTGTTGTTATTATTATTATTATTATTATTATTATCCTGCATTTCTCTCCATATATTTCATTTTTGTTGTTTTTATATGCCTTCATATTGACTCCAACTTACAGTGACCCTATCATAGTGTTTCCTTTTAGGATTTATTCAGAGGAGGCTTGCCATTTCCTTCTTTCATCCTGGAAAGAAGTGACAAGTGTAGTGCCACAGGGTTCAGTCTTGGGCCCAGTGCTGTTCAACATCTTTATTAATGAGTTAGATGAAGGTTTAGAGGGTGTACTTATCAAGTTTGCTTGATAAGTACACCCTCTTGTTGTAACTTGTTGTAAACCGCGTTGAGTCGCCTGTTGGGCTGAGAAACTGCGGCATACAAGTAAAGTAAAGTAAATAAATAAATAAGTTTGCAGATGACAGAAAATTAGGAGAGATAGCTAGTACTCCAGATGACAGGTTCAGAATTCAGATTAGAGATTAGAGAGATAACGATAAGAGAGCTGGGTCAAAACTAACAACATGAATTTCAACAAGGACAAATGTAAGATACTACATTTAAGGTGGAAAAATAAAATGCAAAGATGCAGAATGGGCGACGCCTGGCTCAACAACAATATATGTGAAAGAGATATTGGTATTTTCCTGAACAACAAGTTGAACATGAGGTAGCAGTGTGATGCAGCAGCTAAAAAAGCTGATGGGGTTTTGGGCTGCATTAAAAGGAGTATAGTGTCTAGATCAAGATAAGTCAGTGTGTTTATTCTGTTTTGGTTAGACCTCACCTGGAATACTGTGTCCAATGCTGGGCACCACAATTTAAAAGAGATATTGACAAGCTGGAAAGTTTCCAGAGGAGGGCAGCTAGAGTGATCAAAGGTCTATTAGGGATATCTTAAAGAGCTGGGTATGTTTAGCCTGCAGAAGAGAAGGCTGAGAGGAGACATGATAGCCATTTATAAATGTGTGAAATGATGCCATGAGGAGGTATCAGGATTGTTTTCTGCTGCCATGGAGATGGGAACAAGTTAGGAATTCTTTAGGGGAGGTACGCACCATTCATTAGTATCCTGTCTGGCTGATTTTCTAATGTTGTTTCTCCTGCTTGTAGATATCATTTGCTGTTTTTCATTGTGTTGTTTTTATGAATTAATTTTAAAAAGCACTTCAGTTTTCATTTCTATACATTTTTTCTTCTTGCTGACTTAAGCAGTGTGTATGTCCTCTCACGCTATTTGACGACTTATGGTGGCCCCATGAATTTTAGATATTTAAGTCCTTTACTTGTATATTTCCCTGCACAACTTTAAAGTGTTGTTTGAGAAAGAACCTTTCCAACAACGCTTACATGAAAACTATTTTCAAATGACCCAACTGTGAGTGTTGGTAACTGTAGTGAGTTATTTAATATAGTTAATCTTTGTGTTTAGTATTCATGAGTGCTAAGTTGTGACTATTTTATTGCTTCATTTATTTCATAGATCATAACAACTTTTACTTTTTGGCTGGTGGTATTAAGCAGAGTATATACATTACAATGAACTGTTCTCATGGCTGTTTCCAAGGATTTGGGGAATTTCTCATCTTGGTCTCATATTCACACATCATAAGCTCCCATGCTTGCTTCCTATCTTTCATATTATTTAATAATATTTCACACTCCCTGAGTTCTTACAAGTTCTAGTCTTAGAAATGTTAGAACTGTGTAAGATCCCATTTTTGACATCCTACTGTTTATTCTCCTGTTATCTCTTAACTCTGCTGCACAGAGCATGACAGAACTGTCCCATCTATCATCTCTTAGCTTTAAGGATCAGGAAGCAGCTGAAATAGTGCAAGGAGACAGCCCTTTCATAATTTGCGAGAAACCTGGGTCAGGCTTCTCTTTGGCAGGATTGCAGAATGTGCTCACCTCTCCACATCAATAGGTAGCAAATTCGTCGAGTGGAAACCTCAGCATCAGAATTATTTAGAGACTTCGCTTGCACAAAGTCATCTTCCTTATTCTCTAGGGAGGGGGTGGGTGGAGAGTTCAGAAAGAAGCATCATACCATCAGGTTTCCTAGTTCAGAATGAATATTCTGCATGGTGTATTTCACTGCAGGTACTAGTGTCTGCCAAGTAGGATTTGAAAGTGTTGTAAGAACTTTAAAATTTAACCTGAATGTTGGTTTTTGCAAATCAACAGCATGCATATTCATTTTAATGTTAATTGGTGTGGCATTCTAACAGAGTTGTATATTAAAGTGGCATGAAACAATATTGCTACTTCTTATTTTGTCCCTATTATGTAATGTACTAGAATAGCTAAGTACTTTTCAATTGTGCTATTCATTGTACTTCTTTCCCCTTTGTACTTTGTTTTTATGTATTGTGTATTATAGCTTTGGAACACTTACTGGTAGAAAACTAAATTAAAGTCAGCAATTATCTAGGTCATATTGACTTTTAATCTTATCATGTCTGCAAACTCTACATGATCTGGGTGGACTATTAGGTATCCCTTAAAAATTAAAGCAAGCAAGCTATACATTGGGTTGTTGTAGGCTTTTTGGGCTATATGGCCATCTTCTAGCGGCATTCTCTCCTGATGTTTTGCCTGCATCTATGGCAAGCATCCTCAGACCTCACAACCTCTGAGGATGCTTGCCATAGATGCAGGCAAAACATCAGGAGAGAATACATCTAGAACATGGTCATATAACCTGAAAAGCCTACAATGACCCAGTGATTCCAGTCATGAAAGACTTTGACAATACATCAAGCAATAAATTAGCCAAAAAAGGGGAAAATATGGTCCTTGGGCTATGAAAAGGGTTGGATCAACTCAGTGCTTAGATACACTTTAGTCTCATGAATTTCATGAAGGAGAAATGTAGGCAATTTTACTTAGGCAGGAAAATAATTAAATGCACAGATACAAGATGGGTGACACCTGGCTCAACACCAGTCCATATGAAAAAGATCTTGGAGTATTAATGGACAACAATTTGAACATGAGCCAACGATGTGATGTAGCAGCTAAAAAGCCAATGGGATTTTGGGCTGCATCAAAAGGGCTATATAGCATTTAGATCGAGGAAAGAAATGGTGTCCTTATATTCTGCTCTGGCCAGACTCTACCTGGAATATTGTGTCCAGTTCTGGGCACTACAATTTAAGAGAGATATTGACAAGCTGGAACATCTCCCAAGGAGAGAGACTAAAATGATCAAATCTCTAGAGACCATGCCCTGTGAGGAACATATTTAAAAGCTGGGTATGTTTAGCCTGCAGAAGAGGTTGAGAAAAGGCCTGATAGTCATGTTTAAATATTTGAAAGGCTGTGATAAGGAAGAGGAAGCAGGCTTGTTTTCTGCTGCCGTGGAGACTACGACTCGGTGCATGGGTTCAAATTACAGGAAAGGAGATTACACCTTAACCGCTTAGAGTCGCCTTGTATGGCTGATATAGGCGGTATACAAAAGGAGTAAATAAATAAATAAATAATAAATAATAAATAAACCTTAGGAAGAACTTCCTGACTGTAAGAGCTGTTCAACAGTGAAACTCTCTGTCTCAGAGTGTGGCAGAAGTGTCTTCTTTGGAGGTTTTTAAACAGAGGCTGGATGGCCATCCATCAGGGGTGCTTTGATTGTGCTTTTCCTGCATGGCAGGGGTTGGATTAGATGGCCCATGTCGTCATTTCCAATTCTATGATTCCGTTAAATCAACAGCTGATTCTTCAATTGACTTCAATATGACCAATTTAAAGAAAATCCAGCCAAGAATCCACATGGATTGCAAAGGTTGTGTCATAGTGCTGTTTCCCAAGTCGCCCTGTATCATTAAAGTAAATTCTTTGACATACCTTTTTTTGATGTGAATATGTAGGCATGTCAAAAGAAGCATCCATCCATCACTATTGTATCTCTCTTATTTGTTAGATAAACTCTGTAACTGAATATTCAGGAGAAATAATTTATTTTGATTGCTGAACGAGACGCTTATCCATGCTTATTATTCATAATTGTGGTTAGATAACACATTTTTCATTTAGCCAATCTGCAAATTCATGAAAAGGTCTAGAAAAAATGCAATGCCTGGATGTAAAAGCTGTTTATTAAAATTTACAACATGATTAACAACTAACTGGTTTGGAAGTACAATGCACAGGAGTTCACATGTTTTCATCTAATCTATTTATCTTTTTTTCTTTAGTGAGTGACAGTTGCTTCAGGAACCTTGCAGAAGATCGTAGTGGAATAAACCTCAAAGACCTTGTCCAAGATCCTTCCTTGTGAGTATTTGCCAAAGTGAAAAATAGATTTTCTAATTTGTATATATTGTGTTCGTAACTAACTTTTATTAAAGCACAGATGTTTCACCTTTTATGGATCTACGCAAGTATAGATGTTATCAATTCTTATGTTAGTCTTTTAAAAATCAATTAATTAAAAGCACACAAAGACCTAATTTCAATCACACATGTATCTATCTATCTATCTATCTATCTATCTATCTATCTATCTGAATATTTAATTTTCAGAGTCTTTGTGATGCACACATAAGGGTTCCTATCTGCTTGTGCACCATATCTCTGCCAGGTTCCAGATGTAAGAACCTCCTTTGTGTTTTATCTTTTGTGCAGAATTTTTTAATTGCTCTGTGTGTTCAAAAGATGGTACCTTTAATCCCTTGTTGGGATTCAATTAATAAATAAAGGATCCACCATAGCTGTAGCATTCATGTTCCTTAGAGTATTAAGTGTGTTTGATTTTCATTCAAATGTTATCTTTCTTCGGCTTCTTTTTATTGATGCTTTATATTCTTCAAATATAGAAAGATAGTTTTCTCTCCCATTCATGGGCCTGTAGCCTTAAAACATTTTCTAAAAGTGCATTGAATGTGATAAAAAAGCTCATTCCAAAGTGCATTCTACTTGCACTCTTGTATCCAAAAGCACATCATTGTGAATCATATAGTGAACCATCCTTTATTCCTGAAATCCTTTTGATAGGATCCAGTTGAAGTTTGTATTTACAGCACAACATCTTCTTCAATTGACATCAGAGATGGCTTCTTCCATACAAACTTATACATCGTGGATGCTTCTGGCTTTGATAGCTGGCATTTCAGCCAGATTTCAGGGCTCAGAATTTAAAATAAAGACATACATGGACAATATGGTGTGCATTTTAGGGGACCCAATAAGGAGCATCAAAACTTTAATGGAGACCATCAATAAGTATGGCAACATTTCAAGATTTAAAATGAATAAGGCAAAATCTGCATTTTTAACCAAAAACCCATCCACAGGTAATATTGATAAATTGGAGAAATTATCAGCGTGTAAGGCGGTTACGAAAGTAAAATACTTAGGACTATGTAACTGTTAAGAATAATAAATTATATCAAAATAATTATGAAAAAAATGGAAGAATGTTTTGTTAGTAAGATGGCAGAAAGTTCAATTAACCTGGATGGGGAGGATAGCAATGATAAAAATAATGGTATTACCAAAAAAATTGTTTTTATTCCAATTATTAAAGGTGTAAAGGTTTTTGAACAGTAGAGGAAATATATGGTTAAATATATGGGCTGGCAAAAAAAGTCAGAATTGCATATAAGAATTTAATGGATGAAAAAGGTAGAGGGGGTTTAGCCCTCCTGGACTTTAGATACTACTATGAAGCAGCAGGATTTAGTTGGTCAAAAGAATGGATTACACTTGAGGACTACACCATGCTTAACCTGGAAGGCTATAACTTAAGATATGGATGGCATGCTTCCTTATGTATGAAAAAGATAAAGTGAACAAAGAATTTAACAGACATCCAATAAGATCTAGACTCCTAAAGATTTGGAAGAGATATAAGGAAGAGATTGAATTTTAAAACCCTTTATGGCTGCATCCATTGGAAGCAGTACTTAGACCAACATCCAGTGAGGAAATAAGAACTTACACAGTATCTAATTAAAGAAAAAGATCAATGGAAATTGAAACTGAGAAAAGAGATATGGATAAGTGACTGATTCTGTTACTATCAATTGCATGATCGATTTAGGAACAATATTAAAGTAGGGTTTGCTAACGGAAAATCGACGTTGGAAGGTATTGGGAAAGGGAATAAAGGCTTACTTTCTAGATTATATAAATATATATTAGAATACAATCTAGAGCAGTGGTTCTCAACCTGTAAGTCTTCAGATGTTTTGGCCTTCAACTCCCAGAAATCCTATCAGCTACTAAACTGGCTGGGATTTCTGGGAGTTGAGAACTACTGATCTAGAGGACAACTGAATAAAAATCGCTATGATCTCCTGAGCTAAAGACCTAAGAAAAAATATTGATCTGGAGAATTGGGAATATCTTTGGAAAAGTGACTCTATCAGAGAAAATATGCATAAGATGTTTTATAGATGTTATACAGGGTGCGACAGCATAACTTCCTTTTAAAAAATGCACACCATTCAGTCGGTTGAAAACGTAGTGGAGCGCTAGTGGTCTCGTTCGAGAGGCGGGAGTATAAAGTTTTGTCCTGACACAGTTCATTCGCCATCATGCGTGTTTTTACCGTTGAGGCCTACTTTTCGAGGGGATGTTCTGTGATCGCAACCCAGCACGCCTTTCGGATTCACTTTAATTTAGCCTCATTGGCCCCTGTCCCGGACCGGAAATCAATTGTGACGTGGGTCACTACATTCAGACAAATTTCAAGTGCAACAAGACGAATACAATCACCACACCCTTTGTGCGCAAACATGCATCTGCCCTTGGACTTTCCGATCGTTCTGTGAGGAGAATTCTTCATGATGATCTTCATTTCCATCCTTACAAGATGGCGATTGTGCAGGAACTTTCTGAACCTGACTTCAGTTCTCGGAGGAACGTGTGTGAGGTTCTTCTCGAAGTCATTCCTGAGGATGCTATTGTTTTTTTTAGTGATGAAGCCCATTTTTATTTGTGTGGCTTTGTCAACAAACAAATCATGCGCTACTGGGCTGACAACAATCCTTGAGAATTGCATCAAAGGCCTTTGCATTCATCTAAAATCACAGTGTGGTGTGCAGTTTCCTCAGATGGAATTATTGGTCCCTGGTTCTTAAAGGAAAATGAAGTCACAGTGACAGTGAATTCGTACCGGTATGTAAACATGTTGAAGGAATTTTTTCCCCATGGCTAGATGGGTTGGACTTAGGGGACATTTGGTTCCAACAAGACGGTGCAACTGCACACACTTCAAGAGCATCGATGGCTGTTTTGAGGGAACACTTCCCAGAGTGCCTCATCTCAGTTAGGGGAGATTTGGAATGGCCAGCCCGCTCTCCAGATTTGGCCCCTTGTGATTTTTTTCTATGGGGTTTTTTGAAATCCCGTGTTTATGTGAACCGTCCAAGGACCCTACAAGATTTGAAGACCAACATCCAGGAAGAAATTGCCAACATAACGCCTGCTATGCTGGCAAGAGTCATGACTAATAACCCAACATATAAAGACAAATTATAACATAACAACTAAAGTTAACTAAAACATAATCTATGAAATAAATTATATATAATATAAAACATAAATATCATGCTTTCACAGTAATAAGCATAAACAATGATAAGTACATGTGCTGTTATCCCTTTCTTCCCTGTGAGCACATGTACCTTTATAGCCATTGTGGAGAAATCCTGCCCTCCCCATATCACTTTTTAAAAAGGAGTTCCTTTCCTTGGTCTTAACCAAATGTACTTCAGATGTTAGTGAAATATATATCAATGATCTTAGTGTAAGTCCTACATATTTTATTGACTTTTCTTCAGATAGCACTGTCAAAAGGTTATGCAGAGTGTGCTTAGAAACATATTGGGAACTACTATCATTGTTCCATTGGGACTGCTTCAGTTCTTTTTGTGTATTTTTCCTTTTAAAAAAAACATTTTTGCTGAAATTTTCAATAATAAACATGTATAACAGGATACACTTCATAATGAACAACCTCCCTTCTGATCTTTCTGTATATGTTGCTTATTCCCTGTTATCACCAGCCTGACCAGCACATTGTAGATTAGGCTGCTGTATCTTCCAAATACTTTGCAAAGGCATATTCAGTAATGCAAATACAGTGTACTGGTAGTGGTAATCAATCATGCCATTTCAGGAACAGGAGCTTGTGTACCAGCATACATACCCTGGCAACAGACATTACCTAACTTTCCATGCTCACAACCAGATTAAGGAGCAGCCCAGATCTGTAAACCTATATTTACTATTGTATCATTTGCCTAAGATTTTTTTAAGTGCTTGGAAGAGGAATAAGAAAGGAGGCTGATATTGAGCACACACCATTTACTGACAATCACTATAACCATCACTATCTAATTCCAGGTGTCAGCACAAGTCTAACTCTTTGAATATATCACCCCAGTGTCCTTGAGCGGCATATTACAACATTATTTCCAGGGTGGAGATTTCAGATTTGTTTTCATTTCAAACAATTCTACAGTGTCTTTTTCTGTTAATTGACTAAGAAAATCAGCTGTGTTTCTGTGACTTCAGAATTTGTAGGAAAGAGTGTAAAAATAGCACAGAACATTTTAGTGCCCTTGGTGTCTCTCTTATTTTCTCTCTCTCTGAACAGATGGATGGTGAGAGGAGGAAAAAACAGAAGAAAATAATTTAAATTTCTAATAGGAGGCAAGTCAGGTCAAAATGTCTACTGACATAGAGAAAATGCAAAAAGTGCACACCATCTGTACATGGTCATGAGTATTATAGTATCTTTTCATATACAGAAAGAAAGATGGAGTCTGTTGGGGGGAAAATCCAAACCTACAATTTTCAGATTGAGATTTTGCACTGGAAGCCTCATAATATAGTAGTAGTTCTTGATGTAATCAGAATCCCTGCACTAGCTGCATTTTAAGGTTCTCTTTTTGTGTTTATTTCTTGACTGAAATCTCTAAATTGATATGTGAATATATAGGGTATACTCATGGTTTTTGGTGGGGATATTATTGTAGATTAATCCTTGTTTAAAAATTATGTAATGGTCAGCAATCAACTTTTACAAGCTCAGTCCAATACATGTTTACATGTATTGTATCTGGTGTTTCAAATAAGCCTGCTAAACAGTGTAAAGTTTTTGAAAATGAACATTGACAATAAATTTCTCAAGAAATGTGTAGAGCAATTTTACATGTGATGCTAACACATCCAAATATTTGCTGTTTCTTCCAGCAAGTAGGAAGGCAGTGGCTTGTACTGCTCTTCTGTTTACTATTTACAGTTCTTTCCTGTTCTTTTAATTG